GAGAGAGAGAGAGCGAGCGAGCGAGAGAGAGCGAGAGAGCGAGAGAGCGAGAGAGCGAGAGAGCGAGAGAGGGAGAGAGAGACGGAATATTCTCAGAAGCTATGCTGCTTATAATAGTCAACATCTGGAAATAACCCAAATAGTCAACAATAGATTAGGCGGTATGAGCTAAATGTTTGTATCCCTCCCAAATTCGAATGTTGAAATCCTAATCCCCAATGTGATGTTATTAGGAAATGGGGGCTTCGGGAGGTGCTTTAGTCATGAATGAAATTAGTGCCTGATGAAAGAGAGCCCTGGGAGATCCCGAGACCATCAGGTAAGGAAGGACACAGCAAGAAGGTACCAGCTACGAACCCTCACTTGATCTTGGACTTACAGCTTCCAGAACTGTGAGAAATTTCTGTTGTTGTTAAGCTACCCAATCTGTTGTATTTTCTTATACAAGCTAGAATGCATTAAGATACTGGATAAATAACATTTTTTTGTATTTACGTACAATGGAATACTAACCAGCAGTATATAAAAAAAGAATAAACTACTTACTGATATATACACAACATAAATGAATCTGAAAAACAACATGTTGAGTGAAAAAAGCCAGATATAAATGAGAACATACTGTATGATGTCATTTATATGAAGTTCATGAACAGGTAAAATTAATGGTGAAAAAAACTAAGATAGTGTTTATTTCAAGGTGGTGGCTTACAAATTGGCAAGGGGTATGAGGAAACATTATACTATGCTAGAAATGTTCTATATATTGATTGTACATGAATGTACACATACATAAACATGTATGAGGTTTATAGTTAAAGTAGAGTACTTGCACACTTTATTGTATGTATATCACCATTTTAAAATCAAAACAGAGTAACGTCAGAATCATGGTGACATGGGGCATTCCTTTCTTCTATCCTCTTCCATTTATAACTAATTGGACATCCATAACCAAACAGAAGTGCCTCCGTGCAGCACAGCAATACACCCGAGATCCATCCATCTGCACATCTGGAAGTTGTCCGACTGTACCTCAGAGGAGGCTAGAGGGCCAAGGGTGTTGCAGCAGAGGCGGCAGCAGCAGCAACCTCTCTAACGGAGGAGGTGGAAAGTGAAAGAGGTGAGTAAAAGTCAGCCTGGCCACGAGGGCTGCAGCTGGAGGGACCCCTCAGCTCTTTAGCAATACCCCGATTTCTGAGGAGAGACCTCAGTGACTGGGGGGAAGGAAAAGAAAGGGAAGAATGCAGACAAATGCAACTGAAGAACAAATTTCCTGCTGTCTGCCCACAGACCTCTGGGTCTCTTCCACTCTAGGATCCCCTTACTGGGCCATAAACACACCCAAAGCTCCAGGTGCTAAGCACACACCTGCCCCCAGGCTGCCATCACCAAACTTTAGAAGTGAATCCGTTCCAGTAAGAGAAACCAAAAACTTGTGCTATATCGCCACCTTCTGGAAAACAAAAGAAAGGTTTCTGTTTGCCAACCTACTGAACTTAAGAATCAAGGTAAACAAAGCCTTACCTACAAAATAAGAGAAATGTTAAAGAATTCAAAATAGCTGTCATGAAGAAATTCAACAAGCTATAAGAAAACTCAGAAAGGCAATTTAAAAAACCCAGGAATAAAATTAATGAACAAAGGAAGTAGTAAATTCCCAAAGAGATTGAAAGTATAAAAAAGAATAAAAAATTCTGGTGCTGAAAACTCAATAAATGAATGAAAATGCATTAGAAAACACTGGAAATAAAACAGAACATGTGGAAGAGAGAACAGCGATCTGAAGGATGAGTATGAGAAATGATTCAGGTGAAAGAGAAGAATGGATATTTTAAAACTTGAAGAAACCCTACAAGAATTATCAGACTCCATTATAAAAGCCAGCATAAAAATAATGGATATACCAGAAGGAGAAGAGAGGGAGAAGAGTGCAGAGAGTTTATTTAAAGAAATAATAGACGAGAACTTCCCAAAACTAAGGAAAGAACAGGACATACAAGTCCATGAAGCTGATAGAACACCTTACTATCTCAATGCCCAAAGACCTTCAATACACATTATAATGTAACTGTCAAAAGTCAATGACAAAGAAATAATTTTAAGGGAAAAAAAAAAAGTAACCGATCAAGAAACCCCCATTAGGCTATCAGCAGATTTCTTAGCAGAAACTCTGCAGGCAAGGAGAGGGTGGAATGACATGTTCAAAGTATCGAAAGATAAAAAAATTGCCAGCCAAGAATACACTATCCAGCAAAATTATCCCTCAGATATTAAAAAGAAATAAAGGCTTTCTCAGATAAACAAAAGCTGAGGGAGTTTACTACTAGACCTACCTTATAAGAAATACTGAAATGAGCTATTGAAGCTGAACCAAAAGATAAAGTACATAAAACTCTGATTAAGGTGATATATAGCCAGAAAACTGGACCTCTATTTTAGAAGTGTCTTAAACAATTATAGCATAAATGTTAAAGGGAAAAAAGCATTAAAAATAACTAGAGCCCCTATGATTTGGTAACAAATTCACAGCATAAGATTATTTGTGATATCAAAAGTCTAAAAAGGGAGGAGTAAAAGGACAAAACCTTCATAAGTGTATGAATATAAGTTGCTATCAGCAGAGAAAGGACTGTTTTACCTATGAGATATTTTATGCAAACTTCATAGTAACCACAAAGCAAAAATGTAGAGCATAGACATGAAATAGTTAAAAAGGTAGAATGTCACCATGGAAAACCACTAACTTACAAAGGTAGAAAGAAACAGAAAAAACAAGAAAAACTAGAGATACAAAATAACCAGAAGGAAAAAACAAAACAATAGTAGTTAAGTCCTTACATATCAATAATCATCTTGGATGTAAATGAATTGAATTCACCAATTAAAAGGCACAAAGGCGCTGGCTGGATTAAAAAAGAAAAAAAAAAACCGAGACCCTACTAGTGCTGCCTCCAGGAGACTCATTTAAACTCTAAAGACACATACAGGCTCAAAGTGAAGGGATGGAAGATGATATTGCAAGAAAGTAGAAACCAAAACAAAGTGGGCAAAGCCATATTTATATCAGACAAAATATTTTAAGCCAAAAATGATAAGTAGAGACAAAAAGGTCATTATATAATGATAGCGGAGTCAATGCAACAAGAAGATATACAAATTGTAAACATATATACTTTCCCAACACCTGCGCACCAAAATAAATTAAGCAAATCTAACAGATCTTAAGGGAGACATACATAACAATATAATTATAGTGAGAGACTTCAATATTCCATTATCAGCAGTGGATAAATCATCCAGATAGAAAATAAACAAGGAAATATTAGACTTGAATCATACTTCAGGACAAATGGACTTAACAGACATGTACAGAACACTCCATCTAACACCAGCAGAATACACATTCTTCTCAAGTGCACACAGAACGTTCTCCAGGATAGATCATATGACAGGACACAAAACAAATCTTAGCAAATTTAAGAAGATTAAATCATATCAACTATCTTTTCTGACCACAACAGTTATGAAACTAGAAATCAACAAGAGAGAAATTAGATGATCTGCAAATACGTGGAAACTAAACAACACACTTCTAAACAACCCGTGTGTGTGTCAATGAAGAAATCAAGAAAGAAATGAAAAATTATCTCAAAACAAATGAAAACAGAAATACAACACATCACACTTGTGGAATGCAGCAAAAGCAGTTTTGAGAGGGAAGTTTATAGCAATAAAGGCATATATTAAGAAATTAGAAAGATCTTCATAAACAATCTAATTTTACACCTCAAGGACTAGAAAAAGAATAAATTAAACCCAAAGTTAGCAGAAGGGAAGAAACAACAAAGATCAGAGCAGAAATAAAATAAAATAGAGGTGAGATACAAAACTAAGAGCTGATTCTTCAAAAAGATAAACAAAACTGACAAACCTTTATCTGGACTAAGAAATAAAAAGAGCACACCCAAGTTAATACAATTAGAAATGAAAGAGGAGACATTACAACTAATACTGCAGAAATACATAGGCACATAAGAAACTCCTATGGGCAAAAAGAGTGAAGGGAATTAAGAAGTACAAACTGCCAGTCATTAAAATAGTTACAGGGATGTAAATTACAGCATAGGAGATACAGTCAATAACATTGTAATAATTATGCAAGGCGTCAGATGGGTACTAGATTTACAGGGGGAATCACTTCATAAATTATATAAATGTCTAATCACTATGTTGTACACCTGAAACAATTATAATACTATAAGTCAACTATAATTAAAACTAAATTTAAAAAATACTATAAAAGTAATTAAAATACAAAAAAAGGAGAAAATATTGTCTTTACAATAATATATTTACCTTGAAGCTTTCTACTAAGTTCAAGTTTCTCCTGTTCTAGGCGCTTAATTCTTCTTTCATAAGCTTCTGTTGCTAAGTTGTTATCTAGAGTTCTCTGAACATTAACATCAAGATCCAGTGAAGTAGGACCAGCTGTAACTCTTAAACAGCTCCTATCAGAAAGAACACTGAAGAAAACAAATTTGTGGGTTTACAATGAAACAAAAAGTTTGAAGAAAAAAGATAATGTTTTAAAATTGTTCATTTAAAACATATCTGGTCACAATTAGCTATCTGGAATGATGATAAAACACATTTTTTTTTCCAAAATCACCATAAAAGACTATAGAAGCAGTTTTAAAATGAAAACTTAAATTGCCCAAGTTACCTTAAATTTATTTTAATAAACACGAATTATAAAATGAAGCTTTCTGAAGGGTTATTGATAGTTTAAAACAATGTGACCACTTAATGAAATCATAGTAAAAAACACAAGCATGAGCTAGCTGCACCCTCCACAACTAAGACTGAAGGACAACAACTTGGCTGGTCCCCTTCCCCAATTTTTTTTAAAAAAAGAAAGAAACGTAAGTAGAAGAGTGGAGAGCGGTCTCAGCTGGAGATACACAGTAGGCGTTTTCAGCAAATACCAGGGAGCATAGATCACACAGTACAAATGGAAAAGATTCAAAGCCTCAGCGCAGGACGAGGGAGATTAGGAGGCAGCAGAAGGGAGACTGAGGAGTGGCCTGGAAGGTAGGGAGAAATCAGGCAAGTGTCCTGGAAGCTAAGAGAAGAACATGCTTTAGTGGGAAGGAGCCGTGGCAAACACCATGAGTCTAGACAAATACGACAGACTGAGACTGGGTCATGAAATGTAGCAACATGGAGGTCAGTAGTGACCCTGATAAAAGCAGTTTGCACGAAGTGATGGGAGCACAAACCTGACTGAAATAATGTCAACAAGGGGCAGAATGAGAAAAATGGACAAAATATACAACAGCTGGAAGTAATTTTTCTATAATGTGGAACAGAGAAATGGTTGGTAGCAGGTAAAGAAAGTGGGATTAAGAGAATTTATACTTTGCTTTAAGATGGGAGAAAAAAACTGCATGTCTGTGAGTTGATAGGAATGATGTGATTATGCAAATGACACAGAAAGAAAAAAACTTATGATGTAACAGCTAGCAATGCGCTACAGGAGATGAAAGAGGGCGGAAGGGGTGGGCCTTAGCTCACAGTTCCTGCACAGAAAGAACGGCATATGGGTCCAGGGGGATGTAGGTGGTAATTGTGGTGATGGGAGCTTGTGGAAATTGTCTGCTGTTTTCTCCCACCTCTCAGTGAAAGAGGAAGAGAGATCATTGGTTGAGAGTGAGGGTGATAGAGGTTTCAGAGGAAAGTATACAAGATGAAATAGCTATCTAGGACAGGGAAAAGCGAATACACTAGGGGAATATGGGATATTTGCCAGGCAGCGAGGTAGGTAGGTAATCATGAACTTAAAGTGTGACTGTGAAGAATGGTCAGATATTTTTCTCTAGACACTGAACTGCATAGGTACAGGCAGAAAACTGAATTATAATAATAACTGTTGACTTAGCAATACCCATGTAAAATGAGACAGTCAAGGAATTGAGGGGATATACAAGGAGTGTTATAATCATCTCAATGGAATTTAAACTGGTTAAAGAGGAAAGAAGATACGAATGGAGTGAGGGTCAGTGAAAAGACAGTTAAGGTTGATGCACCAAAAGTTCTGATGCTTGACACCCGGAGCGTATTTAGTCAATAGCATGGGACGTGTCTAATTCCTGCCCCATTGCTAATACCTAGATTCCAAGCTCTCTGTTCTCTTCTTTTGCCTCCAATGACTCAAAATGAGTCAAATTCTTATATGTTCAATCATTTTGTAATATTTAACTTATTCCAGCAGTAGCTTCAGCCTATGTTTTTCTTTAATTTTTGATTTACAAAGTCCTCTTATACCTTATATTTTTAAAACCACAATTTATTTTAATTTGCTTTAAGTTGCCTAAATTTCGTTAACTTTTCAAACTTACCAGCTACTAGTATAGGTAAAACCAACAAATGGCAGATGGTGGCCAGAAAATGCAGTATGTGTTGGTGGGGGCATCGTTTCCTAAAAGAATTAAAAACATCTGGTAAGAAACAGGTAATTTATTTCTTATGAAAATAAAGATGAAAAGTCTGACTGATATTGAGAGCACCGTCACTTTTCATGTATTCAATATTTGCATATCTGACTATAGTCGCTAAAATGGATTTGTAACTCCAAATCAATCGTCACAGTACTTCTGCAGACATGTGCAGAGCAAGGAAACCCTGAGCCTCACATGTTCCCAGCTGGAACTGAACAAGGAGACGCTTGCCTTCCTGTTTCAGCTCTCACACTGTAAAGTAGTGTTCGTTTCAAGGTCTAAGCATGTGTCATGTGTTTCACACTGTTGTGCTTTTTACAGGTGATGTTGCCATTTAAAGTGGCCTCCAGGGGGCCGGCTGAGTGGCACGTTGGTTAAAAGTTGGCTTGGGACGCCAGCTCTGAGCAGCAGGGCCCCGGTTCAGATCCCACATGAGGGCCAGTGACACTGCGCCCTCTACAGCTAAGATGGTGAACAGCTCGACATGGAGCTAGGCTGCCCTGAGTCGACAATGTAGGCTGTAGCCCCTGCTGCAGCAGGCTGCCATGAGCCACTGTGAGTGGCTGGCAGTCAGCGTGAGAGGCCGGCAGCCAGTGTGAGCTGTGAGTGGCCGTCCAATGGCCGGTGACTGATCTGCCTCACCAGGGAAGAGCACAATGATAATACCAACATGGGCCAGTGAAGCGACGTCCTCCACAACTGGACGGAAGACCAAAAAGGACAACAATTGTCTGTTCCCCTTCCCCAATTCCCCAACGCTGTTCCCCTCCCCTAATTCCCCAATAAAATCTTTAAAAATTATAATAAAATAAAAATAAAGTGGCCTCCAGGATAGTGAAGTGCCATCTTTTGTTGCTAAACAAGAAGGCAGTGATGTGCCTTACAAAAAAAATGTGTTAGATAAGCTTCATTCAAGCCTGAGTTGGCGGTGAGTTCAACGTTAATCAACAATTTCTACTAAATAGGTGTCTTTAAATAGAAACACACATAAAACAAGGGTCTGTATTGGTGAAAACTGTTGACCACAGGTTCAGAGGAGCCTAACCCTATTTTTCCCTTGGAGCAATGGTTCAGGTACTCACTAATACAATGTTCTCGGCGACTTTATTGAACATAACTACTGCGAATAATCAGAACTGATTGTACTGTGTATTCCATTTGGAATGACAATTTCTGTTAACAGTAAATATAATTCTTGTAATAAAAAAAACTGATGAAGGAAGTCAATTTTATTCTTTCTTATACGTTTCAGAAAGGCAAACATAAGAGAAGTTCTTATTCTGCCTTGAGTATGGTACTTACTGAACAGTGAAAAGTGATATAACATTAATATAAAAATTCTTAGTGCAGAATTAAAACCATAAGAAATATAATAATTGAAGGAAAGTAACAATTCAAATTAAGGAGGCAAAACGTAAAAATTTTATGTTTTCATAGTTTCCTAAATTCCAATTTAACCTAATGGTTTAGAGCAAAAGTTGACAAACTATGCTGGCCTGGTTCAGTATGGCCCACAAGCTAAAAATGGTTAAATATTTGGCTAATCTGCTGGTCTGCCACTCACTTCAAACAAAGCTATAACTTCAGGCTAGTAAGGCTGTATATTTTCTTTCATTTCCCACCAAGTTTGTTATTTTTAGTGGCAACAACCCTCTGCTTGGGTATTTGGCTCTCCAGGTCATGTCAGCCCCCTCATGCAGCCAAGCTGCTGGTTTTAGAAGCAGCTCCATGCTAGCAGTTCTACTGTCCCAACCACGAGGAGGGAATCGGGGTACAGGGCAGAGAAGGGAGCTGTCTTTAACTAAAGTTCAGTGGTTTCTCATGAATAAATGCTTCTCAATTTATTTACCTTGGTTTGATTTGTCAAGCCCTGAAATGGTTGTTTTGGACACTTTTGTCCAGTTTCACGGTGGTTTTTCTTGTTTGCCTATTTGTTTTTTACTCGATTTACCAGCTTATTACAAAGGATACACATCAACAGCCAGATGAAGAGACACATGGGCCAAAGTCCTGAATAAAGAAGCTTCTGTCCCTGTGGAGTTTGGGGCCTCATGGTGGCACATGGAAGTGTTCTGGTTCCCCAACATGGAAGCTCCTTGAAACCCCCTCTTTTGGGTTTCTTGGCGACTTCATTAGATGGGTATGACTGATGAACTCATTGGCCACTGGAGATTGATTCCACCTCCAGCCCCACTGCCCTCCCTGGATATCAGGGGTGGGACTGAAATTTCCAACCCTCTATTCATAACTGGGTACCCTGGCAACAAGCCTTTATCCTTAGGTGCTTTCCAAAAGTCACCCCATTAACACAAACCCATTGGTGATAAAAAGGGACTTATTGTAACTAACAGGAAACTCATTTCACCTTGATAGCTCTGAAGGGATGTCAGGCACTGAGAACAAGAGACCAAATATAAAAGTAGTGGAGGAACGCCACTCCCAAATACAGCCTGGAATCTGAGACCAGCAGTCCCCAACCGAGCCTGGAGCCGAGGACCAGCACTCCCCAATCAAGCCCAGAGTTGAGAACCAACTCTCTCCAACCCAGTCCAGAGTCAAGGGTATGATACCACACCCAGCTTAGTCCCCCAGTGTGGCCCTTAGGGGTTCCCCTCCACCCACAGCACCAAAAGCAGCAGCAGCAGCAGTAGGGCCCCATGGGGAACACACATGAAAAACTCCCTCCATGCTGGGCATCCTGATGGTGTGACCCCAGCCTCTTCCTCGGACCACTGCCTGGGCTATCAGCAGGTGGCTAGGAGGTTCTTGACCCTTATTTTAAGCCATCTCTGCTGTTGGTCGTCCACCAAGAAGCAACATATCAAATGGAACCAAGTAAAGCCAATATAATGTTTAAATTGTGGACGGGCAAGGCAGGCTATAGTCAAATTCTCTGGGAAGCTCAAGCCACTCTCCCTGCACTTAAATGCTGAACTCAAAAATGCTGAGCGCCAGGGAGGCTGGGCACATGGTGCAGATCAGCCAGAGGCTGGACGCAAACAGCTGCAGGTGGGAGCAGGGCAAGAACAACACGCTGTGTGAAGGACTGGGTCCAGAGGACGCTGCAGGAGTGTACACTGCCCCAGCGTTCTCTGCACAGGATTCAAATCAGGATGGTACCCGGCATGTCTGCGTGGCCTGCTTCTTAAGGCGAGCTACCTGGCGAGCTTGGAGGACGGCCTGGAGCCCCCCGGGAGACAAGAAGAGAGGCCGCCCTCATGCATGTGCACTCCTTACCCCACCTGGCTGAAACTTCAGAGACTGGACTGCTGTTCCTGGGGCCCTTCTTGCCACCCCTCCTCTTTCTTCCATGTTTGTGGGGGATGGGCGGTTCTTATTCAAGTATTGGGTTCTTCCAAATCTTATAATAAATCGATGCTCCAGAAAGATGTCTCAGACACGCTGTTTTGCCCCTCCCTGCCCAGAATTAGGGCTGTGCACCCTCGAGGTTGGGAAGCGTGTAGTGATGTAGTGCTTGGACTTACTCAGGACAACTAATGGAAAAATGACTGAAGACAATGATCACTGCAACTCCCAATAGCAACCACTGTGGTTCAAAAGGAACAGGCTGTGAGCCATAGGTTCCCAGAGGAGGGGGAACGCCACACCCTTCAGGGCCACACAGAGAAGCCCCGGGATCACTCAGGAGGCAGAGGGAGCAGGTGTTCCTTCCTATTGGCTTTGCTCCCTTCCTCGGTGCTGCTGTCATTCTCGGGTGGGCTTTCCCTTTTATGGAAGCAACATGGCTTCCAACAGCCACTGGATGGCGTCATATCCCCTCAGGACCCCAAAGGGAATTCTCATGGTGGTTTTTAAGGAGAGATTTGCCAACCTCTTCATTCTGCCATCATGAAGTCCACTTTTTTAAGCATCTAATTTGTCCTCTTCTTAGGAAACCTAATGGCATAAACTAATCTCAGAAGTAAACCTTTGAATTTTAATTTTGTTCCTGGTCGTGAATAACTGTGTTTACCTCAGGACACTCTCTTAATTTCTTCAATTTGTAGGAGAATAAATACTAGAAGCTATAACTATCTGACTGATAATTGATAAGATCGTCCATAAAATTACTTCATAACCATATTAAAAAGAAACGGGGACAGAACTTCCCAATGTCATACTCACAGAATTCTTTAAACAATCATCATCCACATCAAAATTTGATGTATCTGTTGGGCTACTAACTTCTGGAATATAAGGTGCTTCACAGTTTCGAATATTATCCCAATCAATTCCATTGAAAAATGGGTGTTTCTTAAAGTCCTCTATTCCATTTTGACCAAGTCGATGTTCTCTGCTGCAAATGAGCCTTCGAATAAGATCCTTAGCATTTTCAGACACATCTGTCATTTGAGCTGGAAACTGAAACCTCTCCTAAACAGGGAATAATAGAAACAAATGTAAATCAGTATTTAATACACTCAATAAATTAACATTTATTTTCTTGAAAATACCTTTTCTTTTAAAAATATCTAATAAATGTATACTGGTACAAAAAACTGATACTGAAGGATACACAGGGATAAATGAGAAAAGACTATCTTCCTAAAAAACTTCTTAATTTCATAAATACCTTAAATTGCTGTCAGAATGAAGAGAATTCATTAAAAATAAGAGAATGACTGAATATTTCAATAGAGCATAGATGATTTATATAGACCACATACTGATTAAGTAATAATAATAATAAACATTTTTAAAGAATGTAATATGCACTTGACACTCCTGGGAGTGCTTTTAATTCATGTAACTCATTTAATCCTCACAGCAATCATCTAAGGTAGGTGCTACTATTATCCTAATTTTATAGAAGAAGAAACAAAGGCACAGAATTCAAGCCACTCACGCAAGGTCACACAGCTAGAAAATAATAGAGCTGGCATTTGAAATGAAGCTGTCTGACTCCAGAATCTGTGCTCTTGACAACCATGTTAGAGTACAATGATTTCCCTCTGAAATGCTTTACATGCTTTTTACAACTTTGTAGCTATTTACTCTTTCAACTCTTCATAACTATTTAGCAGATTATCTTTGCAACTGGGTTCTAACAGCATTAACTCCATCAAACTGATATCTATCTATCTATCCATCTATTCATCCATCTATCTGAAGCAACTAATCATAACTGTGTCACCAGAACAAATTAAAAAGAACAGACTGTCACTCCCTTCATGGGATACACCTATTCATTCATATTACTGGTGTTTGCAAGTGCTCACAATTTTTTTGAGACCAATCAATCAAAACCTTCCTCTTCCTATAATGAACAATCTATTTCCATTTCACTTGATGCTACTGGATTAAGGCTTTACTTGTTACTGTTGTGCATCTGGATTGTTTCAGATGTTCTGTGATCATAAATAATACTGGAATAGGTATCCTTGTATATCCATCTCTGTACTACTGAAGATTTCCCTAAGGTAGATTCCACAACTAAAGTTCTCAATCAAAAGTTCCAACTATTTCTTAACACTCTAGATGCATACTTATAAACTTCTTGACAGTAGAGTTATATCAACTTATATTCATACCAAAGATGTGCATCTCATTGGATTATTTACAGTACAGAGTACTATTTTTCTTTCCGTCTTTGCCAATTTGACAAGGGAAAAAGTATCTTGTTCTTATTTTAATTTGCCATTTCACTTATTATTACTAAGGCTGAGAATTTTTTAAATGCATCCTAATCATGATTATATTTATATGATAGTATAACTACTATACTGTGGTCATGATATAAACTGCCTGCTTATGAAATTTGTTATTCTACTGGAGAGACCATTTAATTTCCTACTTATTAGCATGTCTAATAAAATCCAGTGTAAGGTTAGAACTAATAATTTTATGTATAATTAATGGACTTTGACTATTCAAGTTTCTCCCCTATTAGCATAGAAATTAAATTGTTTACTGGTTTTAGAAAAATATTTTCTTTTTAAATATCACACTACTTTACATTTATTATATGTATTACTTATCACATTAACTTGAAAAACAGTAAAACATACTAACTTTGTGATTCATGATTTTTCCATATGTCTCCACAAGAGATTCTGCATAAAATGGTGTTTCTCCATAAAGCATTTCATACATACAGACCCCCAAGGACCACCAGTCACACTCAGGTCCATATCTGCCTTTTCCATCTTCCATGGCTTGAAGGATTTCAGGAGAGATATAATCTGGAGTTCCAACCGCCACTGAGGACTGGACCTGAAGAAGTTCACATTTTTACTAATCTACTATGTTAGAAACAAATTTTTATAAAAAAAATTTCAATAAAAAATATTTACATTTATTAGATCCACAACAGACATTGCATAACTATTACTGTGTCATTATCTGAATTTAGCTTCCTTGTACATATAAATTAAATTTTACATAATCTCCACCCTAACACTTCAAAATTTCAAAATACTATAGAACCTTTATTATAGCTGTTACTTAATTGACTGCATTTAGGTTAACAATGTGATTTAAACACCACAGCAATTAACAAATTAAATATTTAGCTTAGAACGCTGTTATTATTGATATTATCTATTATTGATATTATCCAACACATACATATAAAACACTGGAACTGTAAAAATGTTATAATTAGGGGGGAAAAAAACCCTGAACAAACCTGGCTAATGCTTATGACCAACCTGGAGACTATTTTAAAACATTTTAATGAAAACTTAAGGAAATAAATAACAATGTCCTTCAAACTACTTATTTAAAAAATTATAAGAGGAACAATATATCCTTCAAATAATAAAGTACCTACAGGGAAAAACAGTTGTGCATATAATTATGTCAAGTTACATGTAAATTAGAAATGATTGCTAAAAAAGATTCTGGGAACAAATTTTGTCAAGATGCTCTGAGGTAAAAAAGGAAGAAAGGAAAGGAGGGAGGGAGGGAGAAATGGTACCTTGTATGTTTTAAAACATTGTATCAAAAGATGAACATTCTCTAGGTAGACTAATGGTTAATATTCTGGATTTTCTAGATTAAATTACCATTCTTAGTAATTATTAGAATAGACTTCCTCTTTGGTAATACTGAGATAAAGTAATTTGAAAACTCATCCATTACAAACTCTTAAAAATACTAGATAAAATACAACAATTATTTTTATAAACATATAAATGAGATTTTTAAAAAAGGGCAATTCATAGAGGCCAGTAATCAAGAAATGGTTGAGAAGCTGCGGTGGTAAGTATTAGAGTGGAAATGGGGCTGGGAATTGTTGGTTTTCATTTTCTAGGAACTTGGATTTTAATATGTACATGAGGGCAAATGGAAAGAACTTGGGCTTACATGAGGTTTGAAGTGAGAGGCTGCCTCATATAACCTTTAACCCTAAAGGGTATATTGTAAGGAAGAAACTGAATTACAAAACTGCCACTCTGCAAAGAAAGATGTTTTGTCTATGTTGATTGCTGATATGTGAAGAAAAATTCCTCCTCTAGAAATGCTTAACTTTAGGTCATAGTCCTACCATTTGGGATTTAATTCATAGTGTTTCTGTGGTCCAGAAGTTCTCAAGCCAAGAGACTACCGGCACCAGGTCAGGAACCCCTAGAAAGCCTGGTATAACAAGTTCAAAACTACTCTGGAGGGCACATGCTCAAACCTAGCCACACGTAACTCCCAGGCATAACAGCCCATTGAAGGTAAGTGCACAATCCAACATATGTCAAAGGTTCAGGTGAACAACACAGTGGTGCTGGATTACCCTCCTCCTTTCTACAACCTATTCCAGTTCACCTTCGAGTGCATCGAGGACCTGTCTGAAGACTTGGAATGGAAAATTATCTATGTGGGCTCTGCAGAAACCGAGAAATACAATCAGGTTTTAGACTGTTTTAGTGGGCCCTGTTCCTGCAGGAAGGCATGTTTGTATTTCAGGCTGATGCACCTAAGCCGGGACTCATTCCAGGCGCAGATGCAGTAGGTGTCACAGTTGTGCTAATGACATGCACCTTATCGAGGTCAAGAATTTATAAGAGTTGCTATTATGTCAATATTGAACATACCGAGGCAGAATTAAGGGAAAAGCCGCCAGTAAAGCCTGACTTTTCTAAGCTTCAAAGGAACATTTTGGCATCTACTCCCCAGTCACAAGATTCCACCTTAACTGGGAAAAGAACAGAAAAACTAGAAAATGCAGACAGCAGTAATCCAAATCTACTTCTTTCAACAGACGCACTACCTTCAGCACCAAAGGGATGGTTCCACATCAGGAACTCACTAAAGGTCATGTTAGAACCCCACACTGACAGCATGCGACCACCTGCCATCCCTCTAGTACAAATCAGCTACAAAACCACAGAACTATTTCCGTGAAACTCCGTAAGACATAGTCAAGATACAATGTGAAGAATCTGTTTAAAAAACATGCTATCAGAACGTTTATAAGAAAACCAGTATTTGAGCAAATTGTGGAATATAAATACAACTATTCTTAAGTATTTTTTTCTCAAATCTGTTATTTGTTCTGAAATTAATCTGATTTAAAAACATATATTATTTCCTTCTCCTCTATATGTAATTAAAGCACTTATAAAGAAATATGAATCATTAGACCAGGTTGTAAAAATGTCTTAGCCTCTTGGACAATAATCTTCGGACCATTATTTTACTAGCCTTCAAAAGAACAAAGTTCATCTCAACTAAAATGTTTCTTCCTGTAATAACACATAGTTTGGTTTAATTTAAGGGGAGAATTTCCATTCTTTTTTGGCGTGTCCTTAAGAAGGGATTTGAAGTCAACTACATGCTATGAAGAACTGTAGGATCTGATTTCCCAGGCCATCCTGAAGCCTCCTGTGGCTGCTATTACAGTTCACATAATGTTAAATAGCATTCAGTTTGGTTTCTAAGGTAATAACAAATGTGTTTAATTCTTTATAAGTCCTCTGGCTATAGTTTTTGTTTTTATAACAATTTAGGACATCAGAACACTTCTTGAATCATACATCATTATACCCAGTAAATTCAAGACATCAAGAGCAGATACAAACTCCCCGAGTTTAAGAATAGGAGAGTATAATGAATTAGAGTTATAAAAATACTCTGAGCTTAACTCTTTAAAATTGTTTTCATAGATCATTTTTTAGCAGCATTTATATAAAAACAGCGGATTTGGGAAGGTATATTTAGCTTTATTATAATAGATGTTACTATTTTGGAAATACATATATATTCACACATGTAGTAAGTACTCTTCTCCATAGCCCCTGAGACTCACGCTGAATAAGATTAGGCATATTTGTGGTTGACATATTCTAAATAGCTTTTTCAGTAAGTTTTTTAGAAAGCAATCTTGGAAAAGAATGCATTAACTAAATGGACCACGAGATTCTTTTTCTTTGATGAGAGCTAGGACCTTCCTCAAAAAGTTTCTTAAACTCCATTAAATTAAGTGTAGAATATTCTCACTACTCTTGCTGCTAAGAAAGATAACAGCCATATGATGCAGTTACTCAGTGCCTTCACAGCTAAAACTTCCACAATTGCACATTTTAAAGCTTTTATTTTGAGGAAGAGGCATTTGTCTGAATATGTAACCTAAGTGGTACATAATTCCTGTCATTCTAAGAGAATCTGTGAAGCAAAATTTTGCTAAAGGTTAAACTTTGAAATTTAATATACCAGATTAAAATACTGTCCACTAACTACTTCATAGACTTTAAAAGTAATTTAGATCCCACTGTTAAACTACATGAAGAGGATCCCATATTAGAGAGCAAAACAGTGAATTCCAAGATGATAAGGAAAGGTAGTCCTAGGGGGTAATTCTGCAGTCGGCCTATAGAACACTACCGATTAGAACGGGAGAATGCAAGACTCCCCCGTATGGGTATCTCCAAAGGAAAAGGAATGGTAAAGTTATTTAACGTGACTGAGAAAGGAATTGCTAAATTACTTAATGTGTGGTGAAGGGTTTGAGGATAGCTTCGTGAGAATTACACAGAAAACTAAGCAAAGCAAAGTGGTCACTTACTCCAGGGAAACCAAAAAGTTTTTCAAGAAAAGAAATATAATTAAAATCAACTGCATGGCATAGCTATGAACTGAACAGGATTTAATGAGACTGTGATAATTGCACTGGGAAGATAGAGAGGAAGCACAGGGGTTGGGTGAGATGGGGGTAAGAGATCTGAATCTTCCTCTTCCATGGTAGGAAATTAATAGATAACATCTAAAACTAAATAATCAAGAGATGACAGTAGCACAAATACGATAATAATAAATATGTAAGTAAATCAAATGACAGAAGAAAGAGCTAAAAGGTTTTAAGTGTCTGCCTCTAGAAAAAGAGATTTGGATTTGGGAAGAATTAGAACAAAGGAATGCTGTTTTTTTGTGACGCCTTCCTAAAATATGCATAGATTGATAAAAATAAAAATAAAATGGAAATAAAACACGTAAAAAGGTTTCTTCATTATAATTTTCTAAAGGGAGGACCAACATGCTGTTATGTCCCAAAAAATTATTTTGAGATCATCAATAAAAAAATGAATGTCTAGGAGACACACCATGATTTCAGGGATAAATCTCATCAGAGAAATCTCATACAGACAGAAAGAGTATTCAGTGCATTCTGGAATGTACAGGGACTTGGAAGACTGGACATCAGACTTCAGGAGAGGGGCCCCAGCTTGGAGTCTAAGGGGCTTACAGCCCGCAGGGCTGGGGAAACACTAGCTCTTCCCCTGAAGTTCTTTTTTAGTGTAGCTCTCTCTTCTCTGGAATTGTGGTCCACAACTTTGCGATGCCACAACCTCCCTGAGTTTAATCTGTATTTTCTCAACTCAACAAGACAAGCCACGCTATTTCTTCCTTCTCATGTCATACCGGGCACTATCCACTTCCCACTTTATATATCACACATGTAGTTATCCTGGAAAAGTATAATTCCATATACGTAGCTTATACTGTGTGACTGTTGTCCTATCTTTTACTTCTACATATGTCATAAACCCCATGTTACAACGTTATTATTTCTAGTTTTAACAGTCAGATGCTTTCTGTGTGAATTTAAAAAGTCTTTTTTATTTTATTCACTTACTACCATCTGCTATTCTTTCCTCTATAGATCTAGCTATCCAAATGGTATATTTCCTTTGGCCTGAAGGACATTGTTTAGCAGCCAGGCCTGCTGGACATTAATCTCTCTTCTTTCATTTATCAGAAAATGTCTTTAATTCGCCTTTATTTTTGCAGGATATTTTTGCTTGATATGGAATTCTTGGTTTACAGATTGTTTTCTTCTTTCAACACTTTAAAAATATCATTCCATGATTTTTGATGAGAGGTCAGTGGTCGTTCTTACCATTTTTCTAGAGTATGTAATGTGTTTTTTCTTCTGGCTGCTTTCAAATTCTTTTCAATTTTCAGCAGTTTTATTGTGATGTGGCCAAGTGTGGTTCCTTTTATAAGCTTGAAATATGCTAAGATTCTTAGATCTGTGTTTTTCATCACATTTGGTAAGTTTGAGCCATCAATTCTACAAATTTTTTCTGCTCCTGTCTCACTCTCTTCTCCTTCAAGAATTCCAATTATAGGGATCCCTGAGCCTGTATTTATTTTGCTTCAATCTTTTTCTCTCTGTTCTTCAGAATGGACAGTCTCTACTGATCTGTCTTCAAATTCAATGGTTCTTTCTTCTCTCATCTCTAATTCATTGTTAACCTCCTGTGAATTCTTTATTTCTATTACTGTACTTTTCAAGATCTAAAAGGTCCATTTGATTTTTTTTTCTGCTGAAATTCCCTACCTGTGTAATCTTTAAGACTATATTTTCCTTTGATACTTTATTTATTTATTTTTAAAAGATTTTATTGAGGAATTGGGGGGAGGGGAACAGCGTTGGGGAATCAGGGAAGTGGAACACACAAGTTGTTGTCCTTTTTGTTCAGTATAGTTGTGAAGGACGTCATTTCACTGGCCCATGTTGGTATTATCATTGCGATCATCCCAAGTGAGGCAGATTGGTCGCCGACTGGACGGCCACTCACGGCAGCTCTTAGCAACTCACACCGGCTGCCAGCCACTCACAGCTTATGGCAGCCCACTGTAGCTTCACTGCAGCCAATGCCGTCGCTGACGACTCACAGCAACTCAGCTCCAGGTCAAGCTGTTGTTCACCATCAGCTGTAGAGGGCAGCGTCACTGGCCCTCATGTGGGATCCGAACCAGGGCCCTACTGCTCAGAGCTGGCATCCCAAGCCAACTCTTAACCAACGCGCCACTCGGCCAGCCCTCCTTTGATACTTTAAACATATTTATGATAGTTTCATTAATTCTGCCTGCTAAGTGTTACTCAGGTTTCTACAGATTACTTTTATTTTTGCATTCTGTATCACAATCTATACCCTACCCTCCATTTTTGTTGGTCTAGTGATTTCTGATTGAATGCTGGTCATTGTCAATAAGACATTGTAGAAAGTATGAATTCTGTTATCTTCCTCTGAAGAATATTAATTCTTATTTAAGCAGATAAAAAAAAATACTGATCTCCTTGAACACGGGTTGGCGTACTCTTTCAGGGCAGATTTAAAGTCTAAGATTCACTCAAGCTCTTTTACTTGGAGCACCATTTTCAAACTCTATGGATCTTCTTATGACTTGGATTTCGGCTATTGAACAGGTTTAGATTAAGCTTTAAATGTTATAAAGGGATCAACTACCTCTCCAGGGCCAAAATTTCAATGTTCCCATAGCACTATTTCTCCCCCAGCACTGCCTGATTTCCAGTAATCTGTTTGATTTTCAAATGAGTAGCATCTACTATTTGGTAAGTCTCATGGGTCTTATACTGCATATGTACAACTCAACCTTCATGAGGTACCACCCCCCTCCCCAATCGATACTTTAGCTCCTCTCTCTGCAGAACTCCAGCTGCCTCAGCTAACTCAACTCTGATCTTTAGTACTTCTATACTATATACTCCTCAGCTCTATGGTACTTCTATACTCTGTTCTAACTCTACCTTTCTGCATCAGAGTCAGCAAACTGTTCCAACTCTGGGAAATTGTGAAGCACACCTCATGAATTTATTTCTCTCAGAGATAAACAGTCTTATGGTGCCCACTGAAAATACTTGTCTCATATATTCTGTCCAGTTTTACTGTTGTTTGTGCTGAGAGGACAATTTGGTATCAATTACTCCTTCCATTGTGGCCAGGGGCAGAAGTCATATAATCTTTTTTAAAAACTTATCTCCTTGGGATAAATTTTCAGAAGTCAAATTGCTGGTCCAGAATAAAATGACGTTTTCATGGCCTTTGGAATGTATTCTACTAAACTGCTCTCTAAAAAGTTTCTGCCAATTAAAATGATATATATTTGGACTTCTGCTATACAGCCAGGAAATTGAAATAAATACAAAAACAAACCAGGGAATAAAATTAGGGCACATAAACTTTTAAGTAAGTGAAAAAAAACAATTACAGGGCTTTGAGTTGGAAGAACTAAAGCAAATGGTAATATGAAACTGAATCAACCTAGAGGGCTTTGTAATAAAAGCATTCATTTTTTTTTAACACTGTCCCTCAGGAAAATTAGATAACTAGAAAAGAAATACAAAAGAAATAAAAGTGAAGAAAAAGTCACATTTTCTTTTTCCATGTGGGATTTCTTTTTTTTTTTTTTTTTTACCCATTTGGAAATGTCTCAAGTACAATAATAAACAGGTCACCTAAAGGAAGAACAAACAAAAGTCTCTTAAAAGACATACAGTATCAATTTTAAGATTATTAATATAAGCAGTTGAAACTGGCATATGACTTTACAGACAAGCCCTATTATGAATAAGTATGCCTAAATGCCTTTGTGGAAGGAGGTGATGCATAGAAAGGCAAATGGATGGATGAAGAGATAATATAAACAGATGGCTTCTAAACAGATAAAGACAACAAGTAGCAAGAAAAATGTCTGTGAGTAAAATAATTTAAGATTATCTTTATTTACCGTTCCATCTTCCATCAGCTTCAGACAAGAACCAAAGTCTGCTAACCGAATATGTCCATTCATATCCATCAATATATTGTCAGGTTTGATGTCCCTGAAAAAGTAAATACATACCAGTTTTAGTTGGGAAGAATAAACATAATCAGATACTTGATAAGATAATCTTTTTGTCTGAAAGTTTCAACTTCTTTTAAAATTAATACTCTAAGAAGATCTACTTGACTACTTTATGGATTCAAGTCCTGAGTCTGATTCATATTAAAACGTTCTTTGTTGTTTTGTTTTGTTTTTTAAGATTTTTTTTTTTAATTGGGGGACAGTGTGTTTTTCCAGGACCCATCAGCTCCAAGTCAAGTAGTTGTCTTCAATCTAGTTGTGGAGGACACAGCTCTGTGGCCCATGCGGGGATCTAACGGGGAAACTTGGTGTTATGAGCACTGCGCTCTAACCAACTGAGCTAACTGGCCACCCCCAAAAGTTTCTTAAACACATGTAATTTCAGTCTTCTCCTGGAGATAAAAAGTACTGTGGTAATTTTCATTCCAGTTAAATAAATAATCTTACCATCCTTCCCTTAGATTTGCACATATTTCAGTGTGACTATGGTAGGCCCAATTTCTGCATACCGAGAAGAGCCATAATTACTTGATTATTTGCAGGCAAGCTATACTACCTCTAGCCCATGAAATTGACAGGGAAAAAATATACTTCCTAGACCCTGAATATAAATGTAGAAAAATTCTCAATGACTGTAGGTCATGACAAAACTAAGAAATTGCTTCATAAAGCTGATTTTGGAAAACAACTGCTTAATAGTGATCTCTATTATATAAAACTATTTATATCTATAAGTCAATAGATTGTTGGATATTCAAATCTAACCAATAACCAACTAAAGCATACCAGTTTTTGTATGTTTTTACATCTGAATAATGAAAAGTGTTGCAAACCTTGGGGAAATCATACATATAAAATATCATTTATAAATGTGATAATTTTACTATTTTTAGACTTCTAATTTTTTCTTTTGCCTACTGGTTTGACTATTTCTCCACTACAATGTAAAATAATATTGATGACAATAGACATCTTTGTTGTGTCCTGAGCTTAGTAATGTTACCTGTTAAGCTGACTTTTGAGGTATGAAATACACACATAGCATGTTAAGGAAGCATCAATCTATTCCTATTTTATTAAAAACATGTTTACTAAATTCAACAAGTCTTTCTGGTTAAAAATAATCAATTCTAAAATGCAAATATTATATGTCTAAAATTTATATTGAGAAATATCAGCATTAGATATCAGGATATTAGACATATGGGGTTAAACAACAGAAAAAAAAATAGCTTAAAGGAAATGAATGTGCCTCCTACACTGGAAAGCAGGTATAAGAGGAATGGAGGTAGGACTATTTCTCAATACAATCTTTTTGATACTAGTTGAGTTTTATTTTAACTATATGCAGTATTGTCTAAAATAAATTAAAAACCAGAAATACATGTATATAATGTCTTAATCATCTTATCCAAGAATACGAAATATTTTGACTAAGCCACTAGGATCATCAGCAGTCAGCAATATTTCTCAATCAAAACATTTAATTAATGAATATCAAGATCGTAAACACAATAATGTAATAATGACAACACTAATTGGTCTCTGCTTGTCCAACAGGAAGTACAATTATACATTTCACGTACATAATATGTTGCCTGTTGACTCACTCCCCATACTCAGCCAGTTTATTCCATGGCTGAAAAAGAAGTCTGTATGTTCCTAAAATGGTCAGTCTATGAGCAGACGGGAGCTCTCCTAACCTTCTGAATTAATAAGACCTCGGGAGGATATGAATTAGCCCCCTAGCCATCTGCTGGGTTTGTAAATATCTATGTTTTGTTTTTGCTCTGGGAACAAAGTATAATGCTGATATGAGACAGAACTTAAAGGATTCATAGGGAGGAGGAAATGATGACTTTTCCATCTAGCTGGTGTTAAATATGACCTAAATTACTAGGTACAAGAAAACTAAAACTTGTATACGTCCATGCACTTTATGACCTCAAAGGAAAATATGTCCCTTCCTTCTTTTTCAACCAAAGACTACAGCTTGACCTTTTGCAGTTTCCTTTTTCCCTCAGGATTCTCTATCATTTTCATCTAAATCTAACTTCATAGTGGCCAAAAGAAAAAAGGGAGAAAGGATACAAAATACGATTTGCACTGGACCTGAACTACGCAGGGACAAACCCTGGTTCGTTTTACCCTCCAGATTTTTGAAATGTGAGTAAAGTGAAACAGAGTCCACAGATTCAAATCCCCACAAATGTCAAGAGTCCACAGATTCAAATCCCCACAAATGTCAAGGGTGGGGTAGATCCATCTGCTGACCGACATCTATCATCTGAGGAAAGAATGCTTTTAATTACTTCCTAAGAATGTTCTCCCTGGAGGATGGAAAGAGATCCCAAGTATAAACTAGGTAGCAAGATGGTTACATTTTATGTATTGACAGTGCTCTCAAACCCAAAAGGTTCTTTTCTGTCACCTAAAAGAGCTCGGATCAAAGAAAAAATAGGTGGACATCTACCTATCTATCTACCATCTATCTATCTATCTATTATCTATCCATCTGTCTGTCTATTCTCTTTACAAATAATTTGATCACTGAACCATGGTTTTGGCATCTTAAAGGGCAACATAAGAAGAAAACGTTTAATATTCAGTAAGTATTTGACAAAACCTTTTTAAATAATTAAAATCATAGTTATAAAGTTATCTATCATTATTATACCTGCCCAAGGAAATGCAAGTCCTTGTTCTTACATTACCACTGAAATGTACTCGTATGATCAGATTTTAAAAGGAATTTAAATGCTTAAAAGAAGTTGTTTAAAAACTTTGCCTTTCCTTTCCTATTCATTATGCAGAAAATATTCTCTTTAAGATATTAAAGACGTCTGAATTGCCAATACAGTAGAATCTTTTCTGAATCCCATAATGATTTCTCAATGACATCTGACACTGCTGATTATTCTGTCAACTATATCACTTTCTCCTCTATTTATTCTCTCATCTAAGACCAATTCTTCTCAGCCTCCTTTCCTGATTCCTTTTTCCAAAAGCATATTCCCTGTTCCCCTAATGCTGTCCTTCCCTAAGACTCAGTTCTCTGCTATTTTCTACCTCAGTGATTTTCTCCTTGAAGGCGCCTGTCTTTTCTTAGATTTCAGGTTAGTTGGTTGCCCTGTGACCTCAGCTCTCTGATGGGTTCAAGAACAACTATAATTTCTTCTCGTTTTTTGTTTGCTGGTTGGTTGGGTTTTTTTAGTGGTTGCTCTAGGAATTACAACATGCATCCTTATTTTTCATAGTCCACATAGAATTAATGTTGTAACTGTGGATCCATAACTACGGGCAGCAATTCTGGTCTCAGTTCCTGTCTTTTGACTTTAGTTGAGCAGCTTTGAGTGAATGTGCGGTTCAGGGGTCAATCAGGTCTGAATGTAGATAGATTTTGGATCTCCTCTCTTGCAAAGAGTTCTCAGAATTCAGTTTTCTGATTCTACAGGCACTTTCTGCACCTATGCCCATGCCACAATGCACCTCATGTTGTCTTCACTAAGCCCCAGGATAAAGCTGCAAAAATGAAAGCCTCATTTCATATACCTCACCTTGTTCTAAATGTATACTTCCAATCAGGTTCTGTCTGCTGCAGTTCATTCTCTAGTGCCTTTGAGATGCTGGGTTTTGTGTTATGCCCAGATTTTATAGTTGTTTTCTGCAAGGGCCTTGGTCAAGAGGATTTTGCTGAGTCACTACCCTTCCCTGTATAGTTAAACCTCTATTAATTTGAGTTTTCTAGGCAAAAATCACAATAATTGTATCTTTAATCCATCTTTGACAATTAATCTTTAAAAAATTGGAACCAATAGCATATTTGTACCTTGTCATATATCGATCTTATACTTCAAGGGTGAAGTTCACCCTAACGTTCAGAATAAAGTTTAGTTTCACCCAAATATTTCATAATATGGTTTCCTTTTACTTCTATAAGAGCAAAGATAACACTGTAATTAAATGACAATAATGCATGGAGGGACGTTTATACAGGTATGCCTTTATTATGGCACTGACTTTTTAAAAAATTGACTTTTCTAAAAGATATAGCCAACCCTATTTCTAATGAAGGCACCTTGAACTTTGAAGTTTCATGGCAGGTTGTATTTCTCAAAAATTGTCCCCATCAAGACTGGGAGTATATGTCCCTCTGCGAACCTGGGTAGGCTTTTGTGACTGCCTCAAAAATGGAGTATGGTGGAACTGAGGCTGTACAACTTCCAAGGAGCAGTCATAAAAATGTCATCAATTCCGCTTTGTTCTCTCAGGACACTTGCTCTTGGAACCTAGTCATCATGTTGTTAAGAAACTCAAACATCCCATGGAGAGACCCGGTGAAAAGAACAAAGGCCCCAGGCCTACGGCCTGGCTGAGCTCCCAGCTGATGAGCCGCACTAACTGGCTAACTATGTGAGCGAGCCATCTTCAGAGTGGATCTTCCAACCTCAGCTGAGTCACTACAGCTCACGTTTAACAGCAGAGAGACAGCATCCCTGCCCACTCGTGCCCCAACTGGAGACTCGGAGCAAAAAAGGTGGCTGTTGTTTCATATTAGTCACTATATTTCAGGGTCTGTGGTGGACACAGAGGTGTGCTGCCTTCTCCTTCAATGGGGGGCTTTGCCCCAGATGTCAGCAGACAGCTCCCAGCTGCCAGCTCATTCCAAGTGACAAAGAGCCTCTTTCGCAAAAGGCCTGTCTTTCTTGGGAAGCCCATATCCACTGAATGATGATACAGAACTATAAAGAGCTGGCCATTTCAACTAAATGGGCCACAGATTCTCCAGGACTTTTAGTGGGGCTGGCTGAGGCTCTGGCCTGCGTGTAATCTGACTTCTCCCTCTGCCTAATCCTGTTTCCACCAACTCCCTTTCACAGGTGTTAATCCCTAATTCACCTTGCATTACACATTCTGTCTCGTGCCTGCTTCTGCAACCTGTTTTTATTTATTTTTAACTAAATTTACTGGGGGTGA